GTGATTGCCGGGCAGCCTTCTTGGGCAAAAGTAAGATGCACGGTTTTACCTTTATTCTCATTATACCCACTGGAAGAGCCTGGACTGTACTCTTATCATCTAGACCTTTCCCAAGAAAATTTTGCCCTTTGGATCACTGTGGACTGAAACTATAGAAAGTGAAGAGTCGCCCTATTGTCATTGTTTGGACAGGGCCAGAAATACCGTTGACTTTAGAGCTGAACTTGGTCCCTATCAGAAGGGTTGCCTATGTTTCCTCATTATTTTGGGGTTGGGAAGCCATCACATGCTTAGAAATACATTTTAATGAATGTTTATAAGGTCTTGGGGGTCATATTGGTGGCTTTGTCTGCTGCATTATGAAATGGGCAGAGAGAAAGCCATTTGTTTCTAAGAAGTTAGGCCCCTTAGTGTCCCCAGTCCCCCCAAGGCCCGAACTGTGAGGGCTCTGGCTGGGAGCTGGGGCAGATGAGGGCTACTTCTGCTGTTAGGACCCAGCTAGCTGCGCGAGCACAGGTACATTCCATCCCAATCCGGTTTCTGTCGAAAGAGGAGGTGGAGCTAGGCTTTCTTGATGTCCCACCAGTGGCTGCTGATTCGCTTACTACAAAAGAAAAATTCTGACAGTGAGAGGGCTGGATCCCGTGGGCCATGTGGCCCGAAGGAACTAATAGCTTGCTGTTGCTGAGGCCACGGAGACTGGGGGATGGCACGTGTGTGAAGCGGGAGGGTTTGTTCAGAAGAGTCCAGAAGCCATTCCAGAGCAGTTCTCTGCTGCTCTTCTCTAAAATGGTGGCCAGACCCAGAAGGACAAATATGTATGGCCTCCCACTTTTATGAACTGTCGGGAGTGGGCATGCGTGGAGACAAAGATCAGTAACCAGCAGCTAGGAGGGGGAGGGGAGGGAGGCGTTGCAGAAAGACAATAAACACTGGTCCAGCCACCCAGTGGAAAAGTAGACGTGAGGGATGTGTGTACTGACAATGACGTAGACACACAGATACAGGCGTCGAAAACATGCCTGATCTATTATTAAGCAGATTTTTAAAAAGTAAAAAAAAAAAACAAAACAACAAACCAACCCACTCCTGTTCTCACTGAGTCAGTCGCAGCTCATGGCAACGCCGTGTTAGAGTAGATGCTCCACTGGGTTCCCGAGACTGTGCACTTCTACAGAAGTGGGTCACTGGGCCTTCCTTCCACAGCAGTGCTAGGTGCGTTTGAGCCACCAATATTCTTTGTGTGTGTGTGTGTGTGTGTGTGTGTGATTTGGGTGAAGGTTTATAGAACAAATTCACTTTCCATACAGCAGTTCACATACACTTTGTCTCCTGTCATTGACCACAGTTTGCCACAATGCAACAGCTCCCCTCCCACTTCCTCCCCATAGTTACCTCTTCCCAGTGTCCATCCCTCCATACTCTCCTGCCCCCTGAGCTGTCTCCCTGTGCATAGGCAGCCCTTCCTTCTCCCATGATCGTTCTCTCCAAGGAGTGTATGTACTTGAGGTAAATGTTCAGCTCATATGCCTGTCTTTTGTATGGCTGGAAACCACAGGTGTGGGTTCAATTCCAGACCTGAAGGGCAGTTGGAGGCCATAGTCTCAGTGGTTCCACCAGGCTCTATCGGACCAGCAAACCTGGTCAACCCCCACCTTTTTTTTTTTGAACCACCAATTTTCAGGTTAGTGGTCGGGCACAAACCATTTGTATAATCCCGTTAAAACCGACCAGCAAGACCCCACCCAGGTCAGAATCTCAGTGAAGGGCAGTGCAGCACGGCACCGGGGAAGGTCCAGCCAGCTTCTTGCAGCGGAGACAAGTAGCAAATCACAGGCCTGTGCACAAGGAGGTACTGAAGCGAGCCTTTCTCCAGGGGAAAGATTAACAGGATAATAGATGCCCGCTCCTAACTGCTACCTGGTGAAAGCAGATGCTGGTCCAGCCAGCCAGAGCGTGTCCGTGTAAACACAGCCCAAGGCTGAGCACGTTCGCATGTTCGGGTAAACACGGCCCAACTTCCCGTGGCCCGGCTTAGGGCTGCCCGGCCTACGGGCTCACTGCTGAAAGCTCTGCCTGTCAAACCCAGTGGAGAGCTGCCGGCCTCCTACCCAGCGCAGTCTCCTTTCACTGCCTGCCGCCAGGACACCTTGGAGGAGGCAAGTGCAGCCAGTACACGGCCCTGCGAGCCCACCCCTGGAGAAAGCAAGATGGGTCAGGATTCCTGGAGCAAAGCTTGCCTAGGCCAGTGCTGGCCCGCTGCGGACTTGGCAGAGCAGAGGCAGCCCCCAGCCCCTCCGGCTCCTCGGACGACCTCGACACCTGCCAGGGGCTTCCTGGGGTTTGCTCTGTTGGGAGGAGCCACTTAGTTTCCGGACCTGGGATTGAGTGGATACCATGGGCTTCGATGCCCGTGATGGGTGCCTGTGTGTGCCGCTGGCTTCTGTGCTCGTGCCCCACCCGCCTTCCCACCTACCTCCTTGGCCCAGCAAACTGCGGGCTCACCTGGCCACTGTTCCAGGCAGTGCGCCTCCCAGCCCCGTCACTATCCTTTCTTGGGTGCTATCTAGACTTCGCTATAAGTAAACCCGCCTTGCAGGTCAAGACATTGAACTTACACTTTGGGCCCCAGCTGTTGCCAGACTGGGCATCTTATGCAAAACCTGCAACCATGCACGCCTTATTGATCCACATACATTAATATCTTTATTAGACTTCTTTAAAATCTTTGGGAGAATGTAGAAAAGACCAACTTTCCATCTGGGAAGCCCGTGACTTGTTTGACTTCATCTTTGATGGAGATTTATACAGCAGTTTCGGTTCCTGATCAACCTTTTCTCCACAAGTTGTTGAGTGACATGTTGGTTCCCAGCTTCACAATGTGGGAGCACTCTCATGATTTCCACCTGGTGGTCCCATTTTCATTAATCCAGTTTCCCTGAACCCTTACATTCTCACCTTTGTTTGAAAGTCAATTGTTGACCTTTGGGTCTCACGTAGGTGATTTTTTAAAGGAGCACAGTCCTTATGGGTGACAGTTATTATTTTGTGAGTTTGTCTGGTACTTAGCTACAGGTTGACCTCAGAGGTTAGTTTTGGTTTGAGGTTTAAACAGTCTCAGGGCGACAATCTCAGGGAGTCCTCCCGTTTCAACCAGTGCAGTAGGTCTACCTGTCTGTCTCTTTGTTTGGGTTTGGTTTCAGAAATTTTAGATTCTGTTCCACATTTCTTCTCCATAGGATTTTCAATGGCTTTTTTTTTTTTTTTTTTCGAAAGTAGATTACCAGACATTTCTCTCAAGGCCCCAAACTTTCCGTTAACAGCCAAACACATTAACTGTTTGCACCACCTACGGATGCTGAGGCGCCCCAAGACATGCTAGGCCTTCCACCTGCATGATTTTATTGACAAACCAGGGTTTAAGGGGCAAGGCTAAGACTCAGACCTGGCTGAGTCTGCTTTGAAACCAGGGCCCGGGCCACACCACTGCCATCCATGCTCTAGCTGTTGAGCTCGGGAAGAACTCCGATGCGTGAGCCCCATAGCAATGGATTTGTAGTGGGAAGGCCTGGGAATCTGGATGGTTCTGATGGGAAGCAAGGCCTGAGATGTGCAGCCTCGGGGGTTCTCTTTTGATGGTCACTCTGCCTTGAGCCCCGTGAGCCCTATCCCCATCCTGCTGGCAAGAAGCCCCATGCACACCTTGAGTTCCCAGTGAGCTAGAAGCTCATCAAACTTGACCAGCCCAACAAGCAGGAGCACTGGATGAGAGGCCTTTCCTTCGTGAATAAGTATTTCTAGAGAAATCAATCTGTTAGACTGTTGGCATTTAGGTGATGTCCAAGTCTCTCTGCTTCCTTCCTTCCTTTGATCATCCCAACACATATTCCACACCCCAACCCCCTTGTCCCCATTACTTGCAGAGCAGTATTAATGCCTGACGAAATCTGTTGACATGCAGGTCATGTTCATGACCATGATAGCCACAGATGATGGTATGAAACTATTGAAAAGATTAAGGAAATGCTGCATCCCTAAGGCCTTTGCTTTGTTTCCAAGAGCAATGCTTTTCTAAATGGTGGGCATCTCCCTCAAGGTGCAGAGTCCAGACTGGGCCTTTTTGTGCTATTTGGTATCTTCCTAACCTGAGGATGCATCTGCAAAGAGGAATTTCTTATGTAGATAAGCTTTATCCTTTTTGTTTGTTTGTTGGCTTATAAGTCCTTCTGGTTAAAAACAAACAAGCTATACAGAAATGCAGAGACTAGAAAGGGAATTGTTAGTCACTCCACCCTCACTCCAAGAGGTGAAAACTCCCAGCCGTTGGGTGTAGGTCTCCTTCCTGGTGATTTTTGTATGCACATAGTGGGGGTGGGTGGGTGTATAGAAATAACTGGAATCATGCTACAATTATTATTCTGCAACTTGAGTTTTCCCCTAAACACTCTGTCGGAGACAGCTGCCTAGAGAAGCACCTGTGACCAATTTCATTCCTTTAAAGTCTCTGTCGTGTTCTTCTTTATCACATAGCCTGATGCATTTAACTACAACAGGCAGGCAACTTAGAAGTTATGTGTCTATGTGGTACTTGTATTTTGTACAAATTGGGGTATCTGTAGGCAAGTTGGAATTAAAATTGTCCTGACTTCTTCTAGTTTGCTTTCAAATGCCCACCTTTGGCAGTATCATTCATTTAGTCATTTCTGTGGAGTTTCATGGAACTCCTCTTAAATTGCACAAAGAATATCCTTTGCATGACTCTCTGTCATGTTTAGTATACAGGCAGCATAAAGGCCTGTTGGAAATAGAACAAGACAGTTTCAGTGAAACACAACAGCAAAGAAACAAGCACTATGGTTCCAAGCAGAGGCCGCAGTTTGTACTTTTGACAGCTATTAGTCTTGAAGCTGGAAGGACTGCTTTCCTTGCAGGTTTCCTGTTCATTAGCTTTCATGTGCCAAGACTTTATAAAAATGCCCACTCTCCCTCTTCTCTTTCAGCCACAGGGCACCATTAAGAGGCGACAAGCAGGAGACAACTTCCAGCAGTTTCCAGGCATGGCTGACGGGGGTTACCCTAATAAAATCAAGAGGCCCTGCCATGAAGATCTCACCCTTTCTATGGGCCCAGGTGCCCAGCCCAGTGCTCCCTGTGTCAAGCTGCAGGAGCCCCCGTTGTCAATGAACGCAGGCGCAACAGCTACGGATGTGGCTGGCCAGTCGCTCCTCCTGGAAAACAATCCCATGAACGGCGGCCTTGTGGGCTCACCATTTGTGGTGCCTCCGACAACAGAAGTGGGGCTGAAAGGGCCCACTGTCCCTTACTATGACAAAGTCAGTAGCGTGCCAAACAGCCTGCCAGCTGTAGACCAGGAACTTCAAGATCTGCTAGAGGAGCTAACAAAAATTCAAGAACCTTCTCCTGGTGATCTAGATCTTGAGAAGATCCTGGGGAGCAAGCCTGAGGAGCCAGTGGTCTTAGATCACCCCCTGGCAGCCCTAGACCCAACTCCCAAGGCCTCAGTTCACATGTCACACTTGGAGGGCCTGGGTTCCAGCAAGGAGTTGGCTTCGAGTTGCAGCCAAGCGGCTGGCGTGTCACTGCACATACCACTGTCCTCCACAGGGATCAGCTACACGTTCCCTTCTACCAGTAAGCAGATGGTCTCGCCCAGTTCTTCGACAGCACAGGCCAAGAACCAGGGCCAAGCGATGCTCTCTGTCACTGTGCCACCACCCCAGGTGCCTCAGTGGCATCATGCTCACCAGCTGAAGGCATTGGCAGCCAACAAGCAGGGCTCTGCTATGAAGACACAAGGGCCCCCACCCAGTTGGTCTGGTCTGCCTCCACCAGGCCTCTCCCCGCCCTATCACCCAGTGCCGTCGCCACACCCACCACCACCGTTCAGCTCGCAGAGCCTCATGGTATCCTGCATGTCGTCCAGCAACCTGCCAGGTAGCAGTCTCCAAGGCTCTGCCAATGCCTTACTCACCGGCATGGCTACCAGCAGCAACACTGTCCTGGGACCTGTCATGACCTACGTTCCCGAAAAGCTCCCCAGCCCAGCTCTCAACCAGCAGTCACAGTTCAACCCTCAAAGCTCCATCCCTGCCAACCTGGTGTCCTCGAGCATCAAGAGCCCCCAAGGGCACCTGATGTCCACTCTGCCCACCAGCAACGCCGGGCCCTCACCACCCTACCGCCCGGAGAAGCTCTCCAGCCCAGGCTTACCGCAGCAGTCCTTCACCTCCCAGTGCTCGCTGCTCCGGAGCCTCACACCCACCAGTTCCGCACTAAGCCAGCAGCAGCCGCAGCTGCAGCAAGCAAACGCAGTCTTGAAGCCCATGCCTGCTGGCTCCTCCAAAACCCTGAGGCTGATCATGCAGCAGGGGCTGGCCAACCCCAGCTCGGGGAGCCCAGAGCCATTTACTTTTGGCAACACCAAGCCTTTGTCCCATTTTGTCTCTGAGCCGGGCCCCCAGAAGCTGCCCTCCATGCCGGCCACCTCCAGGCAGCCTTCCCTGCTCCACTACCTGCAGCAGCCGATGTTGACGCAGGCCTCTTCGGCCACCGCCTCCTCCACTGCCACCGCCACCTTGCAGCTGCAGCAGCAGCCGCCGCCGGACCCTTCTTCGTTCCTCCTGCAGCAGATGATCCAGCAGCCCCAGCGCGTGGCCCGATCGCTGCCTGCGGAGCCCAGACAGGTAAGACAAGCTCGATTCTGACGGTATGGCATTGTTTTGGAAATAAGCACTATGTCTTCTGCCATTGCTAGCTGGCTTTGGAGGGCAAAGCCAGGCTATAGTTCTCTGTGAGACTGAAGCTGACTCTGGAAAAGTCTATTGAAGCCAGTGAATTCTGCACGCTTAGAGCATAGCGTTGAGGCCAAGGTTATGGTCCCCAGGTCTGGTCAGGTCTCTCACTTCTCTGGCAGGAAAAATCCGCTCCCCAAGGTGCTCCCAGGGAAAGGAGTCGGGGAGACAAGTCCCAACTGTACCCTACTGCCCTCCCCTGCACCCCAAGGTGCTTCTGTGCACTGGGCCACATAGCGCATTCCCTGGTGCAGCTTCTTAGGACACAAGGAAACCGCACTGAAGCATTTAAATCTCGGCACAAGGATGTATGCTGAACCTTCTAGAAATGAACACCACATCAAACTTTTGTGCACCCCTAACTGTACAGGTTCTGAAATGAAAAAGACGAATTCTTGTAAGATAGTTATGCTTAGCATCTGGATATTACGAATGGAGAAACTGAGGCTCGGAGAGTTGTAATTACTTGCTCAGACCCACACAGTGAGTGAGGGCCAGGGCGAGAACTTGAACCCAGCCTGGGCTCTCCCGGAAATTACTTTGACTTCTCCCTCCCCCTCATCTCCTCTAATCTTTTCAGCCACTGGATCCAGCTGATGCTGAGTGTCGTCGGTAGCGGTTCCTGCTTTTCTGTGCCCTGATCCCTGCCTGTATTAGTTCTCTCTTCCCCCAGAACATCAGCTTCCAACAGCACGTGTATATTATCTTGCGGTTTCTGTGCGTCAGGAACCCAGGCACAGCTTAGCCGGGTCCTCTGACTCGGGGTCTCTTCCAGGGCAGCAGTCACCTCCAGGCTCACCTGGGAAGGATCTGTCTCTAAGCTCACCCAGGTGATCGTTGGAGGAATTGATTCCTTGCAGATGGTTAAAATAAAGTCTCAGTCCTCACGAGCTGTGACCCCAGGGAGGCCTCCCTCAGTTCCTGGCCGCGTGGACACCTCCACAGAGCATCTCACAACGAGGCAGCCAGTTCCGTGCGAGGGAGTGCCAGCAAGACAGAGGTCACGGGCTTCACAGCCCCGCTTGGAAGAGGCAGCCACCCCTTTTGCTGAATTCTCTTCATCAGAAGCAGGTCACTAGGTTGGAGGCAGGCTGTCCCTCCTTCCCGTTGATCTGATCCCTCTTGATTCTTTGTCTGAACTTTTAAAGTCAACTCTTAACTGGTTTCCTCCAATAAGTCATCCATTCCTGACAGTATTCTCGCTCAGTGGCCCAATCATGTGTCAGACTGTCTCAGTAATCTTCCAAGGCCCAGAACCTGGCCCCGCCTCCCTCCCTAGACTCCGCCTCCATCAGGTTACTCAGAAGTGATAGCGGCTCTTGGGCCCCTACCGGACTCCCTCAGCCTTTGCTCATGCTGTTCCCTGTGCCTGGCCTTCCCTTCCCACCTTTCCTCTCCTGTCCAATCCTACAGATCCTTAAGACTCAGGAACCATCCCCTCCAGGGCACTTGGTGCTGACAGCCCTCGATATTTCCACACCCTCCCCCTCCCCTCTTCTGCACAGCAGTCAACGAGGAGGTGGCCACCTGTAAAGTGCCTGGCCAAAATCTGGCCCAGATGAAGCCTAACCAAGCAGAGGGCATTGCACTGAGGGCTCAGTCTTTCGGTGGATGTGGCCAGCAAACAGAGCTCCCGCGGGGGGCCTGGGGCCTAGTGCGGAGGCAGGCAGGGCGGGGCAAGCCTGCTGGGGCCCAGGGCCCTCAATCGCAGTTCAGGAGCACTGTGGTTTGATTTTGTTATAGGCCTGTTGCCATCTGTTTGCATGGACTTCTGCAGCTAGCTCGGTGGAACACCAGCACCAACACTGGGACCCTTTCACTAGCAGGCAAGATGCTCAGCCTGGAGACGCGTCACCATCTATCATTGTGAGCCTTTTTGCTTTGTTTTGTCTTCAGCGGGGTCCCTTAGTAGCCTGACTGTGTTGCCCCAGTGCTAGGTCACCTGGCTCAGAGGGAGAATTCTTAATAATTGTGGTCGTGCAAAGCACACCCAACCGATGAGCATCGTGGGGCTGGATGAAGTGGTCAGGAGAAGGATAAAGCAGCCAAGTTCAAAGAGGCTAGGAGCGCGATAGAGGGCTGACGTGGCCTCTACCGGCACAAGGGAGAGCTAGGCTGGGCTCAGATGTCATGTCATTGCCACAAGGGGCAGTCTTCGCAGGCCAGGCCTAGTAGTGCTTTGCCTGCCTTTTCTCACTTCAGTTCTCAGAGGTTATAATTCCCTGAGGCAAAGAGAAGTGACTTGAGTTGCCCACTGTCACACAGCAAGGCAGAGCCAAAGCAGGACATCTGGCTCCAGAGCTCACACTCACAACCCCACGCACGCAACACTGCTTCCATAGCTTTCCATTCCTGCTTTAACCTCTCTAAGACGGTTTTCTTCTCTAGAAATGAGCATTTCTTCATGTATTTGCTGGCCACCTGAATATCTTACTTGTTGAAGTATCTATTCATGTCTTCTGCCCATTTTTTAATTGGATTGCTAATCTTTTTGTTGTTGAGGTATTGGAGTTTTCTATAAATTTTAGAGGTAAGTCACTTGTCAGATAGGTAATTATCAACAAGTTTGAATTTGTTGCTGTCATTTTGTTATGTGCTTTTTCATGGTGTAGATTTCTTTGTTCCATATAATTTTCTGTGCTGAGCTCATTATGTTTAGGTATTGTGTTATCACTTTCTTCACTGTTACTGTTTTAGTATTTGCTAAATATTTGTACTGGTCCCCTTTTTTAATTTTGATGTGAAGGTTTATCATTTTTCTTTGAGGTTAGCCTGTGATTTATAATTTCTTCCCAAGTTTAGAACAGTCCGTTCTATCTTGTAGTTGTCTTGACTTCCCTACCATTTAGAAGTTCTGTAACGACACAGTTTTTTCCCTCTTTTTGGTTTATTGTTGTCTTCATTTGTCAATTGTCTCTGGGTCCCTGTTTACAATCTTGTAGGCTTATTTACTTTGGATATTTCTATAACTGGGTTGGTTTCTGGGTTATGTCATCATGTGGGTTAATGGTCACTTGTTATTTGCTGTTGTTGGTTCTCTTTCCAAAGGGCTCCTTTAGCATCTCTTGTAAGGTTGGTCTGATTTTAACAAATTCCCTTAATTTCTGCTTATCTGAAATGTCCTAATTTCACCATCATATTTGAGGGACAATTTTACCAGGTATGTAATTCTTGGTTGGAAAATTTTCTCTTTCAAGGTTTTATATATACCATCCCATTGTCTTTTCGTCTGCTTGGTTTCTGCTGAGAAATCCAGGCTTAGTCTTATTGGCTGCCCCTCGTAAGTAGCTTTTTGTTTTTCCCGTGCTGCTTTCAGGATTCTTTCCTTGACTTTGCTTTTGATGAGTTTGATGATGATATGCCTTGGTGATTTTCTTCTGGGATCTATCTTGTTTGGGGTTCGTTGGACTTCTTGAATGGATATATTCTCATCTTTCATTATACCAGGAAAATTCTCTTTCAAAAAATCTTTGACCATTTTTTCTGTGGTTTTATTTGTCTCTTCCTGTTCTGGAATCCCGATTACATGTAGGTTATTCCTTTTGATGGTATCCCACATGAACCTTAGACTTTCTTCATTTTGTTTTGATCTTTTTTCTGATTGTTCCCTTTCCAAAGAAGTACTGAGGTATTTGCCTTCAAACTCACTGATTCTGTCTTCCATTGATTCAATTCTACTCCTTTGCCCATTCAATGAGTTATCTATTTCTGAAAATTTAGTATTAATCTTCTGGATTTCTGTCTATAGATTTTGTATCATTTCTCATTTATTTTGTCATTTTGTTCTTGTATTGTCTTTTGAAATTGTTCTAAGATTTTCTCTGTGTTTTCCTCAAGTTTGTCAGTGTTTTCCTTGATCTGTCTCTTAGTTCGTTGAAGGTACCTAAATATAATTTTTTAGAATTCCTTATCAGGGAGTTCCAATGCTGTGTCTTCCTCAGGGATGTGTTTTGGGTCTGGATCCTGGTCCCTTGTTTCTCTTGCTTTATCTTGTTTCTTTGTGTGGACTGTGATGCTCTGTTGTCTCCGAGGCCTTGTGATGTTTTTGTGTTTATATTTAATCGGTGATTGTATGTTGGAGTGACTTGCCCACAATTTTTGTTTTCTTTGTTTTGTTTGTATGTTGTCTACTCAAGCAGGGTACAGTGCTGTGCTCCTCTATTGGCAGCACTTATACACTCACCACCTGTCTCCTTCCCCATTGT